AAGTATCCACAGAAATCCTTGTACAACAACATCAAATCTATTTGCCAGTAATGGGTGTATAATTCAATTCAGTTTCAATTCAGTTTATTTATATAGCAACAATTCACAATACATCATCTCAAGGCACTTTACAGTTCCCCAGATCATACAGTCAAATTGATTCCAAGTTTTTTATCTAAGGAAAACCAGTTGATTGCATTAACTCAAAGGCAATCCCTCACACTAAGCATGCTTGTAGCGACAGTGGAGAGGAAAAACTTCCTTTTAACAGGAATAAACCTCCAGCAGAACCAGACTCAGTGTTAACTGCCATCTGCCACCGCAGACTGGGGTTCAAGGAGACAGAAGCAGAGATTCAAAAGGCAGCTGTAAAAGGTGACCCCGTCCAGGAAACACACAGCCAGGCAGACGAGCTCCGAGTTAGCTCCCATGTCAGAGGAGGAAGAGAGCACATCCAGCCAGTCACAGTCAGAGAACTCCAACAGGGATCTCCAACATCTATAAACAAGGGTGTTAAAGACAGCACCACAGCTGATACTGCATTTCTCTCCAGGATGGTGTCACACCCAGAAAAGAAACAGACGAGGCTAAGCTACTATGAGAAAAGGCAGAGAGAGAGTAAGGTTAGATATTGAACTAACAGATTCTGCAGAGTGGGAGAATAGAGATAGAATGAAGCAGGATGATGAAAAAGGGGTTCCTATGTCCTCCAGAAGTCTATCCCTATAGCAGCCTAACCTGAGCCACTCTAACTGTAATCTTTATCAAAAAGGAAAGTTTTAAGCCTACCCTTAAAAGTAGACAGGGTGTCTGCCTCACAGACTAAAACTGGTAGTTGGTTAATCTAAGATAGAGCTTAGCCATTTAAGGCTTTATATGTGAGAAGGAGGATTTTAAATTCTATTCTGCATTTAACAGGAATCCAATGAAGAGAAGCCAGGATAAGAGAGGTATGATCTCTCTTATAAACTTTCGTCAGAACTCTGCCTGCAGCATTTTGGATCAGCAAACTACAGTTTGTGGACTTTCTGATAGTAAAGAATTTTAATAGTCCAGCCTTGAAGTAACAAATGCATGGACTGGTTTGTCAGCATCACCCCTGGACAGATTTCTCATTTTTGCAATATTCCGCAGATGAAAGGACATTCTTTAAAAATGTTTTACTTTATTATCTGAGCTCAGTTTAATCCCATCCAAATGAAGTGACTGACTAATCAGCTTATTTTTCAAAGACTCTGGTCAAAAGACTATAACTTCTGTTTTGCATTCAGGAGCAGAAAGTATATAATGAACAATGCATTTAACAATTGATCAGTGCAGTTAGAAAGAATACAGATGAACCGAAGGTAAAATTTAGACTGTATTGAACACAATAAATGGCTGAAGGGCATACAGGCCAAGCTTTAGAAACTTAAATGTCATGCTCTGCATTTCAGTGGAAAGCAATTACATACAGATTCTTTATTGAGAAGTCAGCTCTGCATCATGATGATTATTTTGTTTAAAAGGTTTTATAACAGTATGTTGTTACCATACATCCAGATAATCACAATAGCCCTATTTGGGTTTATTGTTACATATTGATGATTTGTCAGACTGTTAAACCTGGATTTTTCCTGCGAGTGTGACATACTGTTTATCTAACTGTAACTGTAACATCTAACTTGACATGAAGGATTAGAAAACATATTAAAAAAGCCTTTTTTATTATTTTTTTTTTTAGAAGTGTTCAAGACTTTTGTTTGGTAAACATTTCAATATGGGAGGGATGAATGTGCCGCAGTGTCTGGCCAAACAGCTACATCTGTGAGTCTGGCACAGAAGCAGTCAGGGGTTCATGATTTGGCTTCCATGTTTATTCCTCCAGCACTGATTTCCTTCCAACTCTGGGTCTCTGTCAGCCCTCGAATTCTTTTGTTCTCCTTTGGTTCTTGCAATGGGAAGCGCTTTTGAACAGTTTCACTTTCCTCCCACTTGCCTCCTCCTTTCGTCTTTCCTGCTTCCTCCCCCTCATTCAACAACAATTTTTGACTTCAATTTGTGGTTCTGTATCCAAGTGTCCTTCTGAATTCTGCTTCTTTGTAAGCATTCTTTTTATTCTCTTGCTTGAAGCTCCCATTCCATTGACACACATAGTTGTCCAAGCAAAAATGACAGTGCCATTTTAATTCTGAAGTTGGTAATATAACAAAACTTGCTTGGGAAATGCGTGAGAACAGTTTTACTCTGTTGCTGGTTATTTCCTAAATATTCTTCATTGTTCCTATTTGTGCATTCTTTAGTTAACGGCAAGTTCTTACTGTTTGTAAATGCTTTACCTACAAACTGTGCATTTTTATCTCCTTGATAGAATAGTTGATAGCATACATGATCATTTGCTTCCTTCACCCCTGCAGGTATCTTCCAGCCTCAGCCTGTTTAGTAATTGGCTGTGCATTCAATAGACAAATGAACAATATTTCAACTTCAAACACAAGGGCAGCATCAACACGGTATTATCAGTGCACGTTGGTAAGTGTATAAGTTTGAGGTTGGCTGCTACCCGTCCTTGCTTCTGGTGAAAAGAATGTGCAGCACGAAGGAGAGCGAGGGAGCAGTGGTGGAACGTTTATCACAAAGAAGCAGGAGACACATGAGCACTGTAGGATACCTGCACTCACAAGTACATACAACACATATGCAATATATCTGAAGACTTTATCTAGATTTGCAGGGCTTTTGCGAAAGCATATTCTTTGGTGTCTTACATTTTATGATGTAACAACCTTAACCTTTATTGTTAATCATTGTGCTTTAAAGTGTCCAATAGAAACACACAATTAAGAAGTCGGAGGAAAATTATGTTTTTTTGTTTTTCCATCTACAAAGGTAGCTGTTTGAAAAGCATGTGTAAGTCCTACATTTATGTCATAGGTACTCTTCAACTGTTAGGTAATCACATTGTAATTACATTAAATGTGAGGAAATGGTTTTGCAATGTACTATATGAAATAATTATCTTATATTTCAGAGTAAAAAAACTATATTTGGTACACTTTGGTCGCACTTACAAACATTTACTGTAGTTCTTGATTAGATTGACACACAATCAGCAGGGAATGTGGTCCACTCCTCCATATAGATCAGGGGTAACCAATTAAAAATCAGCTAAGTCCAAATCAAAAAAATCATCAACCAGTAAAGGTCCGGAGACATTTTTAATTATAATCATTCACTTTAAACCAATATTTTATCACTGTTGTCCTTACACTGCTCTCTGGTCTGCAGCATTGTAGAAAAGTTAGTTTGTTTTATTGAGTGTGTGGACTGGTGCGTTTTATATAGATAACAAGTTTAAACAAGTGCATTTATTGCTTCTAATAAGTTGAGAACATGAGGGCTAGAACTGGTCAACTACAGCTTAAATACTGGCTGTTAGACTATTAGGTATCTATGTAATGCAATAAAATGCAAATTAATTACCTAAGACTAGGCAATATGACTTTTGTTTTGTTTTTTATTAGATTATGTCTCTCACAATGGAAGAGTATCTATGATAAAAATAACTTTTTGTAAACATGAAAGACTTCTACATGCTTTGCAAGTAGAAAAACCTGCAAATAGTTGTTCTCCGCTGCTTTTTCCCATCGGTTTTGACCGGCTTTCCTGTCCCTGCTCTAGCAAAGCATCCCCTAGACATGATGTTGGCACCAACATGCTTTATCATGGGGATGGTGTATTCAGGTCGATGCACAGTGTTATTTTTTCACTACGAGAGAATGTTTTGCATATCGGCCAAATACTGTATGTCTATTTATATTTTGTGAACAGATGACTGTCTCTGACACAGATGCTGTCTCCCTTATGTGGCTCTTGGCAAACTGCAGGATAAACTTCCTTTGGCTGTCTTTTAACAGATTTCTTCTTGCCAGTTTTCCATCAAAGCTAGATTTGTGGAGTACACTATTACAATAGTCATCATGTTGATACTTTTTTTAACTATCTGAGTTGGGGATTTCTTTAATTGCTCCCCTTTTATTTCTATTTAATGTTCTCCTGACCAGTATGTCAGCTCAGAACTTTTATGTGTGTATTCCTAAGACAAGGATGGACTAATAATCTTGATGAAATTTAACCATTTACATTTTTACGTTTTAATGCAAAGATTTATAGTTTTATTAGTTGCAGTCTTACAAACACAGATTCCTCTGTCTTGCACACAACTGCTTTCCTTGCACTGGCCAAGAGCACTGTCCTCCCGGGCATCTAAAGACTCTCAGTTAACTGATGACGCAATAGCCTTCACTTTTTCCTCTTCTTGCCCTTTCCAACCCCCTAAGCTTTTTTCTATCAAAGTATCTGCCCTCTGAATGACTCACCCCCTCCCTTTCTTCTACTCTGTCTTCAATATTTGATTCTTCAACCTCTTCTTACCACTTCTCATGTTGTCTCTCCTCAGCATGTGCTCTCTTCTGCCCCTACTGTTTTCCCAATATGCTACATCTTCCTAGAGAGATGGGGGCAAGATGGGGGAAGAGCAGACAGCAGAGGAGTCACTTCATCAACCACAGTCTGATAGTTCATCAGCAGCTGTTCAATGTGCCGCTCTTTTGTCTTCATTAGCTGCCCTTGGTTTCCTTTCATTCTAAAGTCTTTAGAAAAACGTACCAAAGATCCTTAAATTTCTTCTTCACGAGTTAGAGAAAAAAGGTTTTTATGTGTACTATGTTTTCTTTCAAATGTTGTTGGAGCTGAAGGAAGCTGAAGGCTGTGTAAACTCTGAAGAGAAATAAGACTGAAGGGAGAAATTATACAACACATTTTAATATTTTAGAGATAAGACACATTTTTATTTGAAATATTAATTTCAAAAGAGAGTAATTCAACATTAAAATCATTCTACACCTTATTAGATCAATATGACTTTATCTTTTTTTTCTCTCTCTCTGTGTTTATGTACCGTATTGCAGCTGCTACAGAGAATTGTCTCTCAAAGTTGTCTTTTTTTTCATTCCCTCCAGATAACTACTGGAATGCAGCATCATTCACCACCCCGTCATCCTACCTGCATTTCGCCACCTTTCAGGGAGAGACCAGCGCTGACATCTCCTTCTATTTCAAGACGAGTGCTCCCTACGGCGTCTTTCTGGAAAATCTGGGCAACACTGACTTCATCCGCCTAGAGCTCAAGTGTAAGATGCTTTTGAGATGCTCGTGAGTGCAGGAGAGCTTTTTCTTTGTGTTTACCTTTCTCCTTCTACATCCTTAAGTTGAATTTTTACCCAGCCAAGTGCGCCATTCTGACAGTATTTGGTGTTCTGTACCCCATCTTACACTCTCACTAACATAAAGGCTTATGCAAGCACACACGCACATACCCTACGAACAGCCATTTGCCTTGCTGATTATAGCACACGCTTTGTGTGATTGCGGGAGAGAGCAATCATTTATTTAAGGTAATTGGTGTGCACAATAATTATGTCCATTATAAACCGCTGTTTAACCAAATCACCCATTTTCAGGGATGACATAACACAAACCCTTGTTCATACATCCACACTTCCCCTCTGTCTCTCTTCTTTCCTTTTTTTCCTTCACTAAAACACATTTTTATGTTGAAAAAAAAGCATTTTAATGTTCAGGAGGGAAAAAAATCACACCACACATGCAGACATCCACGTACACTGCAGTCACACACTATTATTGAATTGCTTCTTTCTCTTAATTCTTTGTGTCTTGGTGTGAAATGGGTGCATAACACCTCAAGGAGAGAAAAGTAGTTTCAAACAGCAAGCATCTGTGGTGTTACAAGTTGTTTTGTCTTTTTATTATTACTAGGTAAGCATTCTCTCAGGCTTAATGTAACATTAACAAGACTAAAGGTTTTGTATTCTGTTGTTTTTGACATGCTGTAGTTTTTATGAGCTAAGGCTACCACGAGCATATAGCCCAAAGGAATTACTTGCAGGAATCTTTTCAACAAGTTTCTAACTATTACAAATAAAAGGATATTTTGCAGAATTTCACTTCATGTACTGAGAATGAACTCTCCTGATTTTATTTTATTTTTTCAAAATAATCTCTTTCTGGCTTGGGAAACCTACTGCATCTATCAAATTGCTTTCTGGCGCTGGTCCAATGCTTTAGTATATTTAAGAAAAGGTTTTGAAAGAAATAAAGAATATAGTTTTCTTAAACTGGCATCTATACTTGTTTTAGCAGAAAAATTCACAAAATGAATGCTTGACTAAAGAGGCAAAGAACAGGTAACAGAAAATTAGCAATCACAATCTTATATCAATATGGAACTAAAAAGAAAGGTTTCCATGCAGAAAAACAGAAGCAGAAATCTGTTCTGAACAAATAATGATAAAAAAGGAAATTAAACAACCAATCATATGTTTTCTATATTGACTTTTTCTTGCAAAATCACTGCTACCTTTTTTAAATTGGCCATTGGGCAGCAGGTTGGGCATATCCTTGATAAGGGATTTGTTTTCTTACAATTGGAGGTCTGTGATTATTTGTACATATCTGATGATCCCCTCTACATCTAGTTAATTAACAAATCCAGTGCAATCGAATACCTCCAAAAATCTGTCAGTTAATCTCAATACAGATACAGTGGGAACAGGTAAAAAAAACTCAAAATCTGAGTGAAGCACTAAGCATCTTAGCAAATACTGACATCCATCATCTGAAATTGAAGCAGCAAAGATACCAAACCGTGGCACTACATCCAAAGTGAAAGGTCTGATAACAAGATCATTCTTCAGGGAAGTAACTCTGGAGAAGCTGCAGATATCCACGGCTTGGATGGGAGAATCTGTTAAAGGGACAGCTATTAGATTTACAAATTTGGCCTTTATGGAAGGCAGGCAAGAAAATGGCTGTTGTTTAAAGAAAACAATAAGTTGTCCCACTTACCGATAACATAATCAGACACAGTAAACCCAACATAGAACATTTTTATGAAAACATTGCACAATAATAGTCATATACTTGAAGGTATCTTTTAAGTTTTGACTTATTTAATGTATGTTTTATCATTTAATAAAACTGACATAGTAATTCCTCTGGACTTTCAGACACAAACCTTTAAATCCTTCCTGAGACATGTGGTGGATATACCACATAGTGAGCTCCTGTGATCTGTTTCACTGGTTTAGATGGAATTCCCTGAAACCCATAGTGGAACCGTTCTCTTCAGGGGTTTCAAAGCCTTTTTTTTTATTAATTGCAGAGCTGCATTGTGAGGCTGTGTTCTGGCACAGCAGGGAAGTCGATTAACGGTTAATTGCATATTTTTTTTCTGATTCATGAGGATTTGAGCATTTGGGTCAGGGTTGGTTGTGGACCATGACAATGTGGGAAATTTGTGCAAAGCTGATGTTGTAATAGATACAGATTTTTCAGATCATCTGCTTAAGGTTAGCCTGAAACGTTTTCACCAAATGACTAATGAAATAAGCCATTGAGATTTTAGCACATGCAGTCTAAAAGCTTTTTTCCCCCCTAATTCCTGCATAAGTCAAACATTGGTTTTCATGCAGCTTTTTGTTCTTTAATATATATATATATATATATATATATATATATATAGACAGTAAGAAACGGCTATGACAATTTGGTGTAATTTTTTTTACACCGTACACAAAACACAAAGACAGCAACTATTTAGCCTGTCACAGCTGCGGTGTGTGTGTGGGAGTGTGTGTGTTTATGTGTGTACATATATCTCCAGAGGCTTTCAAAATGCCCCTACATTGATTTTTTTTTCTCTCCTCTCCATTGCTATCATCTTGCATTTTGCCCCGCAGCACACGTTTAGACACACAGTCACAAAACACTCATGCACAAACACACACATAATCTCTGCCCTCTTGCTGGTGCAAAACTCTATCTGCAGCAATCCAGAGAGGGCATGAAATGGCAGCGTTAAACTAGACCAGCACAGCTTTGCTGTCGAAGAGGCTCAAAGTGCTAAAACACACATTTAGTGATACACTCACAAAAACGCTTTTTTATTATATATCTATATAAAATACACATTACTTTCACCTCAGCAGGCTGAAAGTCACATTTCTCTTTTAATCTTTATACTGAGGGGTGGATACATAATCATTTTTGCAAGGAAGCGATGAAGACTTACTCAGAAGTCTTCCAGGGACAGAACAGAGGACAAGCAGAAAGGTTTCCAAGCACACAAGAGCTTGACTTTTTGAATTATCTGGGACTTGAGGGAAAGTATGCTCCATATGCCACTTTTCAAGTCCTCAAGAGGCCCCACAGTCTGTCTTACTCAAAATTTATATGTAAGCATGGTATCCAGTCGAAAAAAGCCCCGTCCTAGTTTTCTCTTGAGAAAAACAGTTTCACATCATTTTTTAAGTGAAGACCAATTGATCTGATTTTGCAATCAGGTTCTGCAGTTTCTTCGGATCCCTTAATAAAACAATCATTAGAGTTCTGTTAAGAAGGCAGTAAAATTATTATTCTGATCACTTTCTTATTTTACTTAAGATGCCTTTCAAAAATAAGCACACCCATTGAACTGTTGAACATATTGTCACAGTAGGATCACTTTAAGTACCACTATAAGAATTTTATTGGAGACGCCATTAAAAATTGTGCATCTTTGTAAAGATAAAGGACTATACTGTAAGCCTGTTGTACATTTTCTTTTACAAATAGAAATATGTAAAGTGCCATGTCTATTTATGTTTAAGCTTTAAACTTCAGCACAAACTTGTCAAAGAGTTGTCCCTGTCTCAACGATGCTTTATGTTCACTGATGAACTTTATATAGATAAAGCAGTGTTATAGGTATTGATAGTCTTACTTGATTTACAAATTAGCTAAATGTATTAATAATTGTTGCACTCATTTGTAGATGACATAATTTTTGACAAAACTGAATCCAGTGTTAAGTTTCTACTTCATCTCTCTTTTAAATGCTAAAACAATCAATCGAAACGCAAAAGAATGTTTTTTTTTTTTTTTTAAAGAAAGAGTTGGACTACAGGGATCATTTTGTTTAAATAAACTCTCATCCTCAAACTTAAATGCGACTTTGGTTCCAGCTGTGGCAGGTTTATTGTTACACTTTGAATTTAACTTGTCGCAAAGCAAGGCTTCCATCTCTTTTATGGTTCAGTGTTTGCTGTTATCTCAATTGTGAGCAAGTGGTAGACTAACAAAGCAAATTATACAAAAAAACAAAGACTTCGAGATAACTGCAAATATACAGAGATCAGACGATAATAAACAGCCAAACATCTGAGAAACAGCAGAAGAATTAAATTGAACTTTACATTAGACAGATGCACAAGTGCATGTATCTGCACCCACACAAGTAGTGCTCTTTTTACTCAGAGTCATCCACGGTCTGTTCCACGATTTATCATCCATCGATTGTGCCGTGCTGCCGCATAATTTAAAACTTGGCTCTTTCAGCCTTTGTTTGAAAAGAGAAATACAAATCTAAACCTCTAAAAAAAACCTCAAAAGACAAAAAGAATGTATAAAAACACCATCAATGGAAAATTGTGTTTTCAGGTGCGATTACCTTCTGACATCTTTCAGCTCCACAAATTGATGAAACAAGCTCTGTATTCTGTAGATTTCTACTTTTATCCCCACCTGAATCAAACTTTTACATTATATTTTTTTTTCTTTTTACACACCTAGTTGAGCATTATTACACAGAATTAGACGTTGGGGATTGTCTTCTTCTCTCTGTTTAGTGCACCACATTCCCTCTTCCTTCCAGGCTTGTTTGATGATACTGACATCATTTATTAAGGGAACCAAAGGCTGTCAGATGTCACATGTTGTAAATGTTTCATGAATATGCTCCGATTTAAAACAAGAAAAAGTATTAAGCAAGAATTACCACCTGTCATCCTGAAGTTAAATCCCCTGCAATCATAATAGTGATTTTTGTGGGTGTATGACATTGAAACAACAGATGTTCCTCACAGTAAATGGCCCACGCACAGTGAGGCTGTATAAGAGAAAGTAAGCAAGCTACAGACTTTCATCCTCTCCACATACAACTAGGTAAGCATTGTGTATTAAAAGCTTTGGTAAAACCTTCTTATAAGTTATTATAAATATCTTATAGTCTACTATTAACAATATTATAATGATACTATTAATGCATAGATAGTGTTATAAACACATAATGATA